TAAAAATTATTTAGGTATTAGATATTTTTAAAGCATAGTTAAAAATTAAAATATAGGAAAGTTATAAGCAGATATTACATCTTAATTCTATGATTGCGATTGTCTTACAAAAATATTGTACCTATGGAACACAAAATGTATTATATCACGTTTACATATTAAACTCACAAATACGTATTTTGTAAAAAATTGCATTTTTTCGGTTATGTACTATGTTATAAAACAACCAAAAAATAATTCGTTGAACGAAGAGGATTTGTCATTTGAAATTTTCCTGAAGAGTTTTCACAATTTTCTCGGGCACTACAAGGGAATTCCAAAAATTATCTACCAATAAGATATACCATCTGTGACATATATCCAACCATGAGAGAAGGTCGAAGGTTGCTGAAATATGAACATTTTGTAGCACTACCGAAATACCGAATATCTATATTATTATTTTTTAAGATAAAAATATGTATACGGAATAAAGGTATAATATGTAATCGAACCAAATACGCACTCTCTACCGCTGCGTTTGAAATCGTATGTATTTCTACCTACCGATTACCATAATATAGGAGACATTCTATATTATATTATTAAAATAAAAAAATGTGCAAATTAACGCTTAGCCGAGTAGTTTCGTATTGTATATTACGTATACTGTGTATACGTATATAGGCACATTGTGCATTATTATATCTCACGTGCATTTTATATTTTTATACAGCGGTAAATGGTTCTGCACGGATTCTAGATTTCGTGATTGTATTGTTATTTTGGTGAAAATATAAACGTTGCACGTATACATATTATCGTATTATAATATTTCTATATTATATTATACGCCGCAGATGTGATCGGCTCGAAGACAAACTTGACGGTCGAGCAGAATAAAAAAAAAAATCGGATATACGTAATATATTATTATTATTATTATTATATCGACGGGACGGACGTAGTCGTGATCCGGTGGCGTGGGGGGGGGGGAAATCTTTGCACGTGGCGGTGGAGGAGACGACTACGGCGACGACTATACTTACCCATTGCGGGGAAAAGCTCGGAGTGCAGGGACTGTCCGGTGCAGGTCGCGCGCGCGTACCGCCATACCCTCGTCGGCACCCACACCACCGACCTACCACCCTATACCACACACACGCAAGCGCGCGCTCACCTTTTTCGACGGGGCGAAGGGAGGTCAATGCCGACCGAAATCCAGGGGGTCTCCCTGCGTGTACAGCGTACACGTCGAATGCGATCGATACTGCGCGGCGGCGGGAGACGCTAGCGCTCAAGCGCACGCCGTAACCTACTAATACGTATCGTGGCATTGGTGGCAGCGGCAGTAGAAGTCGGAGGAGGAGGAGGAGGAGGAGGAGTAGTAGGAGTCGTAGTAGTAGTAGTAGTAGTAGTCGTTGGAGTACCAGTAGTAGTAATGGTAGTAGTATTAGTAGTAGTAGTAGTAGTAGTAGTTGGAGTAGCAGTCGTAGTATGGTCGTAGTAGAAGCGGCGTACGAGAAAACGCTCGAGATCGTATACGAAGGGGTCACGTCGACGCGCGACCCGCATCCTGCAACTACCCCTATCGTCCTCGCCAAAACAACACCATACGCCGGCCCGCCCGCTATGTGTACATATAGCTGCATTGGTCCCGCCGAAGCGTTCCTCCCCGCGTGTGATTAATGCCTCTTAAAGCCGCGTGTTATATTGTGTTTAGATATATATTATAATACCCTCTCGCTCTACCCTACGCTACACCACCCATTCGCATACCCACCCGCGCACCACACGTGTCCTTTCCTCATTCCGCAACCGCAACGTTCGTCGATTTTTTTCGCCGATTGTCCGCAAATCGCTTTCTCTCTCTTTCTCGATCCTCTATATAATATTATTCTCTCTCTCTCAATTTCTCGTTATGCTTCCTAGCCTTGCAACCGACTGAGGCTACTCCGTGTAATGCGTGACATACATGTTACAAGATTGTACAGCGGCGTAAAGAACAAGGTAGTTGGTCAGCAAATATTTCCCATGATCCTGTGTGTCGAAAACCCGCTGTTTACCAGCATTAATGTCGAAAGTTTAAAGTAGGTAGGTAATAGGTATGTAACTCATCAGTGAAACGCCAATGGACTTTCGGGCCCATTAGTTTCATTGCGGACCCCATCCCTTCCCCCCATGGCCCCATAGCAAGCTCTACTACACTATTTGACAGTAAGGCCACTGGTTTCGAGGTTGACTGTGTTTGGCGTTTGCAGAAGGCGTCATAAAGAAAAAATGTCGAAAAGCAGTCGAGAGATCCCTCCTCAGTACTTCCGTGGCTTGGCAACAGACTTAACCACCATTAGGTCGGTAAAAAAAAATAATGACAGTCGTAAATATATTTGTTAACTATCAAGACCTACCCTCGGGTGGTGTGTCATACCTATATAATAAATATATACCTATATAATGATACTCCTAATCAGTGATCAGTATACCGCATACAAAAACAATAATATAGGAACTGAATCAAGTCGGGTATATTACACGTTTAAACAACAACAAACGCGTGGCTCACCAAAATGTTTTTAAAAGGCAATTAAAAGTACCACTTGTATAGTGTACACATAATATAGGTGAATAGGTCATTTCGTACACTCGATAAATAATATAATTTTATTATATTGTTCACGAGATCTGTAAATTATATTCCATTGTACATTTGTACCACCTGCGGCAGCTGTGCCCATGCAATAATAATTAACGAAAACCCATAAACCATAAATACACCGAATCATGGTACGAATCTCATACGATGATGATAAAATGTACAACATAATAGAGTTGACAAACCACCATTGCAGAGACTTTCAGTGTTTAAATTATAACAATTATTAAACAATTTAATATCATTTTTTATATTATGCTTCGAATCTAGATTTTAATTACAATGATTTATAACATCGATATGTGTTATTTTTCATTTTGTTTCAGAAAACGTTCATTACTTATTTTTTTTTGTGGGCTGTAAAAATAAAATACACCTAAACTTTAATACAGCTTTTCTATCGATTCGAAAACAGACACAGATGGTACTTCAGGTTTGTCAGACAAGCAAATCCCCAGTAGTTTTCGAGAAAACTGCAAAATAAAAAAAAAAAATGTTTTTTATTAATATTGTATTAAAATCCTCAAGTCTCTACACTTTTGAAAATATTTATTTTGATCTGAAAGGTAAAAATCAGCCTTCATCAAAACTATCATTGCATCAAAAATAAATAATTGTCAATCGCTCTAAAATTATAAACCTAAATACTAAATAGTAAGTATTTAAACTAAGGGCCAGTTGTACCGTCTCTGATTAAAGTTAACCGTAGTTTAATCGGCCGAATTTTCCCTGTTAAATATCTGTTATCAGCTGATTAAGCTTAATTGTAGTTTGACCGTAGGCGGTACAACTGGCCCTAAGGCATGGATTTAAATTCACTATAAAATAATAAAAAATGTACTTTCAACGCTATAATGGCCTTAAAAAATGACCAATATTTTTTTATAGACACGAAACCATACAACCGATAGGAAAACGATGGTGTACCTTTCAGCATTTTCGACATTTCCTTATCTAAACTAAACTAACAAAAATACAAAAACCAAATACCAAACATAGGCACACACAATAAATGAAGAGTATCTACCTATACTGGAAATAAATGCAATCACGATTTATCTCCAATTGCCTAATTAGTTGTTTGAGTTCCGACACTATATACCACATTCGATTATTATTGCTAAAAATAGTTCACACATACGATATTTACATTTGGTATGGATGGAATTTGCCCAAAAATTGTATTAATAATAAAATATAGGTAGTATTTCTTGAAATAATAATTTGAATTTCCTAATTTAAACTTGAAGCTTGTTAAATGTAATAATATATGCTCTAAAAATTAATTAAATTATCTGAAAATGCTAAAAAAAATTCAAAATAATGGTTACATCTTTGAAGTACCATCTATTACATGAAACAAAACATGTACTTGGAATGCATTGGCCTAGATCACCCAAGAAACAATAATTGAAAACCGGGCATTAATTATAACGTAAAAATTGTACTACAATTTATAAATATGTTAGTATGTTAAGATGAAAAGTAAAATTTCCTGTTCAATTATTATCACACGATTTAATTATTTATTGACTTTTGTTCTTGATAATTATTACTCTCATAAAATCATTTTTAAATCAAATACATTAACGAATACATTTCTGTAGCTTTATACATTATATATGTTGCCTAAAACATTTTAAGCATTTTAGTAATGTTAGCTTTAATAATACAGGGAATAGACATTGATTGTTATAATAGTGACAAATACAATTTTTTTACTATAACACCTTTTTTTTTTCCGTTATAACCGACGACGCCGCGGGATCTGCTTTCGCATTGCTTCCGCGGCGCACTATAACACCCTTATAGTAATGTTAAATATTTCATTGGAAACTATGCAAAAAGAGCATATTATACAAGTATATTCGGGAGTAAGTACTATATACTATTCTTAAACTGTTCCTTTCAATATTAATTTTTTGGAACGGATTTTTCGGTTCTCAGCTGTTTTTGTTAATATGTATTTTATTATATTATATTGAATTCTGAAACAAGTCATATAACACTAGTACACACCAGAATATCGAATAATTGCATCCATCGTACCGAAATAGGTGTTGCTTATACGTCACAGTTCAGCGACCCGCGGGACATCACATTGGTGGTTCCTTTTTACAAGGAGGTTGTGAATTGTGATACAACACGCTTTCATTGTAGCCAGATCCCATTAACAAGCGTCACGTACGTATTACGTGTGACCCACAAATATACGCCGGCCACCGACAAATGATAATACACGGTCTGGCGGGCCGCCAGACATACCCTCTTTGCTCTATTCTATACCCTCTATTATAGGTGCTCCACTTTAAATATGGTCTTACGCTTATTTTTATTTGATATACATGACGTGTGTGTTCTGTTTCAGGGTAAAAAATTGGGCACTGAAATTCGGTGTGGACCTGTGGGAGTTTGGCAGACAAATCACCAACATGAATGAAATCCAGAGAGTAAGTACCAATTTTACATAGGCACCAATGTTAAACACTTTCATTAAAATAAAGTTTTAAAAAAAAAAAACGTTTAAAAATTGAAGACATTATAAATTAATTTGTTTTAGATTTAGCGGAAGTGGCCATTGAAGCCAAACTTATAAAAAGATCAATAATAAAAAAAAATCTGAATTTTAAAGCTATTATTTTATTCTAATCATATTAATGACACACAAATTAAAATTTTATTTTGTTGTAAATAATATTTTAATATTATTTTAAGTAAAAAAAGAAATAGATTCTTTTTTATATATTTTGTATATTTACTCTGAATGCATTAAAACAATTAATCAAACTTTTACTTTTGTATTTTATAATAGAAATATCGAGAGCGAGAATCTAAAGTTCGAAGAAAAGACGGACTTTTACTTATTCGTGATTTGGCAGCAGAAGTTAAAAATATGATGGATATCAAAATGAATTCTGTTTTGGTGAGCAAATAAATTTTCTGTTGTTTTTCTAATTATATAAGTATATAGGTAAATAAATAAATAAAATTAATGGTATTTAAAATGTACTTAAAACTAAAAACTGTATCTTAACACACTTTTTTTTTGATCGACCCAAAATATGTTTAATTCTATTCATTTTTGAATTACGATTTACGAGTGTACACAATCATACAGACACGCAAGTACACAAAGCGTCAATGCACATACCTATATAAATGCTTACATTATTTTGCTAACGACAGTTAATTATGCATACAATGCTTCTTAAACTCCTATAAATCGTACACAATCAACCACCACCGTCATTAAAATCAACGACCTTTCCCTTGGTGGTTTGTCACCGTTAAGCATACTCACACTGTTGTAGGTGTTTGTATATTGATTTCGTTAACGTTATTTGAACGCGACGTATACGACGAGTTTCCAAACCGATTAAAACATTATTGCACATCTCAATATGGCGACTATATTACATCAATAAACGTTAATTAACTCAGCTTTGGCTGGGTGTAAGGTGGGGTGTAATTAGAGGGAGCTTCAATTTGGCAGAGGGTCGTAACAATAAGCTTTCCATTCCTCTCTCACTCTTTGTCTCATTAACTGTATGTTCCTCTCCCGCTTGTGTGTAGATTTTTGGAACCGATTGCTTTGTCGAATGGTTTTGGCGCCAAGAGATAGTCAGGGAGAGAGAGTCGGGAACACTGAGGTAGAGAGAGAGAGAGAGAGAGAGAGAGAGAGAGAGAGAAATAGAAATAGACGTGGAAGAGTCACACACATTCGCTCGCGCGCGAGCATACAAACACAGACACAGTGCACAACTCGTCGAGGAATTTAATTAACAGGATTCGAGGTTGAAAAGGAGAACCACACCATTTTAACACCCTTAATGACTCCACACTTCCCATGCCATCTGACGAATGATATTATAAAGCACTTTGCACAGACCTGAAATATCTCGTTTCTTTGCCATTTAATTTGCATAAGTCGTTACCAGTGCCCAACCATTATGATTTGTACGCTATGCTCGTTTTATTAACTTAATATCCTGTCAAAACAGTCTCTTAATAATATAATAATAATAATAATAATAATACGAGGGAAAAGAAGAATTGCAATTAAAATGGTGTCGTCATTGAAACAATCGTGTCGTTGTGAAATTTTATATACCCGTGGGGGGAGGGAGAGCACCCATTTTAAACAATCCTAGTGTGTGGATTTAACCAAATCAAAACATTGTTTTAGAAATTTATGTGTGCTTGGGTTATAGTGGCACAAAATGGCAAGGGGTACTGTGATTCATATTTTTTTTTGAACGTTCCATGTTATGTTTACCCGTACAAAAATGCATTAATTTGTTGAACCAAAACATTTTTTCTCGTAATATTAATTGTTTTTGTTAATAGATGGAAAAAATATATGTAATATGCATATTACCTAATCATAATTCCTATGATATATTAAATTTAATTAAATAGGAACAAACATAGTTTTTTATTTTTTTTATTTTTTATTTGAAGAAATCTACAATCTATACATGCTTTTGTACAATAAGTAGGTTTGATATATGAAAGGTAAAATATGATGTGCGAGTAGTTAGATTAGGGAAGATACCCAGTGGTAACACCCTATGGAACAAACAAACACAGTTAAAAAATTAGTTATATTTTTCTTTCTTCTTAGAACTTAATTTCACAAAATAGTTTTTAACACTTACACATAATAAATTAACAAAACTAAATATAAAAAAACAATATAAAAAGGAACATATTTATTATTGTATTTCTCTCTGAAATTAGGGTTTCATTACACAAAATGTTAAGGCGGCTCTAAACGATTGGATTTTTCGTGCATTTAGACCAATAAGCTGGCGAAAAATACACATACTTCTAGTAGTCCAATTTCAATTTTGAATACTTATTTGGATTCGTTAGCCTCTTTTCTATGATCTGTAGGAAAAACTTTTTCATCTTTTTGTCTAGTTAGCACTTAAAAGTGCAAGTTAAATTTGAGAAATCACGCAGTCATTTGGAACCGTAATATACGTAAATTATCTAAAGTATCCAAAACCGGTTTCCTACAAATCATAAAAAAGAGGCTGACAAATTCAAATAATTTTTCAAAATTGAAATTGAACTACTAGAAGTATGTGTATTTTTCGCCAGCTTATTAGCATTTTTCACTGTTGTGAGTGTACAAAAATATTTTTCGAGAGTGATTATGTTGACTTGTGCATGCGCGTACGTGTGCTATTGAACCGTGTGCCCGCAGCCGGGCGATATAAAATCTATTGTTATCGAGTTCGAATTTCTTCGAATTTCACACTAATAATCATTTACGACTAACACATAGATTACGGGCGGCTACGACAAGATTAGAAATTGCCTAAATTGTTCCCTTTAATAATAGCCACTAAGAGCCGCCTTAAATATATAATAATTAATAAGTTTCGAGGATCATCAACCCAATATTTTATATCAATATATTTCTATTCTACTAAAAAAAAAACATAGGTACATATAGGTATATACTGAAAAATATAAAATGATACATTTAAAAAAATAAATAATTAATTTTAACGGAGGAAAAGTTATTTTGATTACGCTTCAATGCCTCAGCGTAACAGCGTACCGTTTAAAGAATGAGTAAAAGGGGACGCGTATTCTCAATCAGAGGTAGAGGGACTCACTGCTTCACCCGATTTAACCCCCGGTACTTAGTGCTTATAACGAGTATAATCCATCTTTTGTTTATCGGAATAAACATTCAAAAATAATTTTTATTGTCAAATTTTGGAGCAGTATACAGGGTGATTCACCAAGCATACTTACCCCATTTTTCTTCAATAATGCAGTTATTCAAAATCTGATTTTTTGAATTTTTAAATATACTTTAAGACCATATTTTCAAATTCTTGAGATTTTTTGCACTACTTAAGGAATTTCCTGTGGAGATACAAACTTCTGATTTTCAAATGAGAAAATCCCTATTTAACTATGAATTATAGAGTAGATAATTTTTGACGTTTCAAAATCAAAATTCGTAAGAGTAGTTTTTGAGTTGCTTAACTTTGTGTTCTAAGGATAAAAAGTCTATAGTAATGGGCTATTATGAGATATGGGGTGGCTATGGTGATTTAAAAATTGTAGTCATTAATATTAATCCATCAATATTAATCATTTGTAAAAATGGCCCAAGTATAATAGATACTTAGATCTAATTTTATGTATATTTTATGTTTATGTAAAATAATTTTTAAGGACTATTCTTGGTATAAACATTTTAATAACTAAGAAACTACTCATTTAAATTTTGAGTTGGGTACATAAAATTGTTCAAAAAAATTATTCACTAAATAATATAGGTTCATTAAAAAATTAAGGACCTCTTTTAAAAAACAAAAGTGTGTATCACCGCAGGACACTACTTAAGTAATAAAAAACAATTTAACAACTTGAAAATTTGGTCTTTGAGTATATTTAAAAATTTTTAAAATCAGAATTTGAATAAACTCATTAAAGGAAAAATGGGGGTGAGTATGCTTGGTGAATCACACATTTTAAGCTAAAAAAAAAAATAATCTGTTCAGCTCTTATAGACAAATTTGAAATTATGAATAGAAACAATAATATAAAAAGGTCGGCTTATACATTATTATGATAACGGTTATCCATTATCCATTTATTCAATCAACCAGCTAATAAATATAATGTTTTAAGAAATATCAAAAATGTGTAGTAAAATTAATTGAAATTTAGTTTTATAAAAGTATTTTAAATTATAATTAAACTTTGCAACAATGAATTCAAAAAGTAATTTGACTAATTCCTATTCTGATTTTTGAAGTTACTATGTAGACTGTAGAGAATATAGGTAGGTAGGTAGTAGGTACCTACTTAGTAAAAACAATAACAATATTTTCTAATTTCTGTAATACAATATTATATTAAAATAGGATGAACATTTTGTCGTATATAAAAATAATATTGTGCTTAAATTGGTTCTCATAACTTAGATTCTGAGCAGAAGCAATGAATATATTGATTTTACAATGATGTGTGTTTTTTGTGTCTGTCACCACGCTTATACATTTATAAGGTATTTAAAAAGTTTTTATTACTGACTACTGTAAATTAAAATATAGTTGAGCGTAAAGACACATTATACATATTATTTTATAAGAGATTTTCTATTTATTGAATTTTTATTTTTGACGGAATTTTAGGTATTCTTAACGTTGTATATTATATTATACACTTAAAATAACGATTTCCCTTCGAAGAGACGATATATGGTATTTACTATTTCGTTGTAATAAAACATTAATAATCGTAGGAACTAGAAACATCCTAAATATTATAATTTCCTATAGCAAATGAAATTCCAATAAATGCTTAGACCAATTTTAAGTTATTTATAGGTATTTGAAATTGCCTAACTCTTTTAGTTTTTTTAAGGTGTTGATAAAAATGTTTACAGTGCTTGAAAATGTATTACATGTAATACTTGCAAGATCTTACATACAATTTTCTTTTTTTTTTTTATTAGAACAAACAAGAATATATATAGATACAGACATACAGCCAGTAATAAAATGTATACAATGGGTATTATGGGAGAACACGTACACAGGTGGCATGATATGGGTCCAATGACCCTATCTCATAATTCTAGGCGGTTTTTTTTTTTAAATGTTAGTGTTGTTCCATTAAAAAAATTTTTTAAATGTTGAGGAGGTCCCCGGGCCAAATTTGTTTAAGACGGCGTAGTGGGTTATCAGGAAGTGTAAGAGAGGAGAGGTTTGAAATTAAGGGATTTGAATGGTTGAATGTGTTTTTGTGAAATGGTTTATAATAGTGGGAGGCTAGTGATGAATGGTTTGGATTTTGAGATCAGAATGGTGGGGGAGTTTGCTGTCGTACCAGAGAAAATATTCGTATAGAAATTTACAGTAAATAGAAAATACCTGGGGAAATTTATTTTTATAGATATTTCAAGTTAAAATTTCGATGAAATTGAATATTTGAATGACAAATAAAGATTTTAGTTATTTTGTTGTGATTTGAAAAAAATATTTTGGATAGGAACTTTAAACTTTTTACCAGCGATGAAATATTTATTAACTATACACAAAACAATTTTTAAAATATTTGGAGCTATTAAATTATACAACAGTCGACAAATCTATTCTCACCTTTATGGTAGGTACGTCGATATCGTCCTTAAAAATATTTAGTAATAATTATATTATATGAAATACTATTTTTATTGTTATTTAATAAAATATGAATTTTGTTCAACCTATTTCATTACTTATAGCGATGTAATTGTAATATAATAAAATTATGTCTACTTAGTAAATAGTAATACCTCAGAGAATTGTTTTTCGTATACAATGGTTTATCATTAAACTCAAATTTAACATGCACATTACAGTGCCTTATTCAATAAAGAGGTTCACTTGATACATACTATACAGAGCATACCGTAGAATTCCCTGGTTTATTTTATTTTATAAAAATTGGTAGGTCGTAGGTAAATAATATAATAAATATAATCAAATAAAACAATTATATAAACTCTATACAGGCTATATAATTAGATATTATATGGTTCTTGTTATACTTCGTTTAGTTAAGTACAAGATAATTGTGATTAGCAGTAAATTTTTATAATATAAGGTACACATTTTAAACAAATAATTAATCATTGCATTCGATAAACTATTTTGAGTAGGCAACACACCGGAATTTAGTTTGCCGAAGTACTGTAAGGACTATTTAACAATTTTAAGTTACGCATAAAAATAATTAATGATTAAAGATTTTAAATATTTACTGAACATAGTAATAATTAATATATGAGTTTACTTGCATTAAAATGTCAAACCCTAAAACTACAAATTCAATTAAAAAATGTCAAAAATAACAACGTTATTTAATTAAAAAAATTCAACATTATTTAAACTTTAAACCCCTTTAAAAAATTGCAAATTTTAATATTATAAGAAAAAAATATAGAATACCACTTCAATACAAAAAAAACTTTTATTCTTTTAGTTTTTATTAACTTCCTACACAAAAGGCCTTATCGTCTCAAAATTCTATTAATTGTCCAATTCTAATTAATAGCATTGTTTAATCCTTTTCATCTTATGAACTAAATTTTGATTCCAATAATATTTTAAATGAATAAATTATATTTCATATTTATGTAGTACTAAAATGTTATTACTTATTAGTTATTTGTCTACAAATTCTATTTAAATTGCTATATTAGTCTACATATACGTTTATTAAATTGTTTACAAACACATTCATTTAATATACATCCTCTAATGTTTCGTGAATAAAAATGTATTCTAATTTCTAAATTGTAATAATTAAATCTTACATTTAATGAATATTATACTATCTTATTTTGATTTTCATTATTTTTTAGGTCACGACTGACATGATTTAATATATTTAATCCATGTTAAAATGAGATCTTTTAAAAATTAAATTAAAACTTGGTAAATAACTGTCAACATTTGTGGTATTATAAATTTAGAAAAAACACACTAACTGTCGTAAAAGTAAACGTGATCTGGCCCATCAAAACCTTCACAATAACTTTACTGGACGATGCCTGTCAGCATTATCCAGTAACGATGATGGTTAGTGTAAATATTTTCATTTCATTTAAATCATCTCAAAAATTCATCAGTCAGTTTTGGTAGTTTTAAATGCACAGATTATTATTTTTTTTTTTATTTATCATAACTTCAATATTTTTGATTTTGTAGTATTTCAATTTAATTTAAATTAAAAATATATCTAAATTTATATTATTATCTAAACTGTAATTTAAAACGAAAACATAAATTATAAAAACAAATATGTAGGTTTTGTATATTTGTTAAATTCATGATATTACATTTTATTAATTCACGATTTTTAGTTTGATAATAATTACACAAAACTGTAAAGCAATTCAAAGCTTGGAATTTTACGTATTGCATAATAAATATTATAGTGGTTTATTATGGAACTATTGGTACTTCCTTACTAGCAAGCTACTACAACACTTTATAAAATGAAATGGTTAGTAAATATTAAAAAAAATAAAAAAAAATACTTAAATAAATAGTTCATCTTATTAATATTCATATTAATCATCCTTATAAAAATATAATATTTTTTTAGGATTTTCAATTGTTTATTAAGAAATGATAATGTAAAACTTTATATTTTAGTGACATAAATGTAATAACTATTATACCTTAATAATAAAACTGTAAAATATAATGTATATAGTTATAAAAAATATAATATATTGAAAAACTACTTATAATGTATACATTATAAAACAATGTGATCTATGTATCACGTATACGTAAAATATATAGGTAGTTTTATATTTTTTACAATATTTATACAGGTCACCAATGAAAGTTCAACGTACTTTTTATAAATCTAATAAACCGTTGTTGCCGAATAAAGTTTTAAAAATTACCCACCATCAACTTTGACTATTGTTTTACAGGTTTTTTCGATTTATTTCTGTCTCGAAAGTTTTGTACCCGTTTAGCAACTTTTTTCATTCTCCTTCCTTTCAGAATATTTTCACACACCACAAAAGTATAATGCTTTGAGCGCGTCCAAGACCCAAGTCTACAACATTTTATCTTTGGAATATTAGTTTAGAGTTAAAGAGTTTTACTAAAAACTTCAGCATACAATATTATATTTAAAACTCAATTGTATAATTAAAATGTTATTAAATTAACTTAATAATATGTAAATATATTTTTTCCTAAATCAAATATTTTTTCTATTTATGTATTTTATATTCTTTTAGAGGCTAATGGAAGCTGGCGAACAATCTGCTTTAGCTAATCAAGAGGCTGCTGTAAAAAGTGAGCGATATGTAAATGATGGATTTGGGGATTATAAGAGTCTCGAATCAATAGACCGATATGATCAATGTGCATTTAACACCACTGTAAATTGTGTGCTGTTACAGAGCACATATGTAGATCCAGGTAATGTCTGTTCCATTAAAAAAACATTCACAATACTTGTACTGATTACTACAAATAATATAAATATATACTAAAAAGTATAATATCGTAATTCAAATTATCCAATTTTTCAATTAAGAATGTAAGAAGTTAATATTACGTATATTGTATAAAGTAACTATACAAATTTTATGTTTTCAATTTTAAATAGTGATAACTGATTAAATATTGTTAACTTTAGATACCTAATCGCTTAAAATATTGATAAAAAATGTTTTCTATTGTATTATAACATTTGAAGATTCAGTTGATGAAACCGTAGTACGAGATATGCAGTGGACTGATCATCTGGATCCAATATTTGTAAGCAATTATGAAATGGACCCCGTATTATCATGGCAATATTTCGGTAGCACAAAAGGGACACTCAGAAGATTTCCAAGTAAGTGTAACCTACCTACTGGCATTCTAGGTTGGAAATGTCGCTAGTTACTGTCATAGCGTATTAGTGTCACGACTCACGAGCACAAAATCAAATTGTATTACATTTACGAATATATAAATAATACATTTGAACACGAATATCCAATACAGTGGTTTTTTTCCTTAGTCGTCAATATATTATATCAAAATTGTGCTACGTGAATTGCATTCATGAATTGTATTCAAGTTACTCAAACAAAACCAATAACATGTTTCTATAGTATACTAAATCAAATAAACTATTATATTGGTATAAATAATATTTTTTTATTTAATAAAAATGACATAAATATTTTATAGACAATATTACGAATTGTGATTTAATTACGATCTTTCATTTTTGTGATCAATCTATAACCACAAAATAATAGTTTGTATAGTAAGTTCAACATAACCTAATTAAATATCATTGAAATAAAAATGTTTGTTGATATTCAATTGAATTACTCTGCAAGATTACAAGGATTCGAATTAAAGAAATATACATTACATGATATATTGCCTATTTAACAGCATCTATAGTCGGAGCCTTTGGTGAATCGTGATCAATCAACTTAAGTTTACTTACATTTTAAAAGAATATTGATGAGTGATCAAATTGACTTCAAAGCTCTTACTTTATTCGAAGTCATCCTTAAAGTTTCTTTTCGTCCTACCCAGCTACTTGCTTTAGTAATTAAGGTTAAAATGAACCTTTCGTCATTCATGGTAAACATTAAGATGAGCTTAGAATTTATTCCTGATAGTAGTGTACTATTGTGATATAATTTTAAGAAAAAAATTTTAGCAGATATAAATAATTACTGCGGTTAATGCAAAAGAATACGTTTATTGACTACGTGAATCTTATATTTTTATTATAGCACTGAGATGGCCTTCATATTCAGGATTGTCACCATCTGCGTTATTTGACTATCGACTTAATCCGTGGTTTGTAGAAGCTGCAACCAGTGCGAAAGATATAGTTATAATAGCTGATTTTTCAATGGCATTATCTGACTATAAACTTAGTCTTGTAAGAGCTACTACTTTAGCGGCGCTTGATACTCTTGGTGCTAATGATTTCGTCAATGTTTTATCACTTGAATCATCAAACTATGAAATTGTTCCATGTTTCAAAGAAATGATTGTTCAGGTAAACCTATACCATACACGTTACTATTTTAAACAATGGCTTATTCTTTTAAATTCTAGGCCAACGAGAAGAACTTAAGAGATTTAAGATCCGCCGTGGCACAATCAAAGTTTGCTAGCAGTTCTAACTTCACTGGAGCTCTAGCCCGTGCATTCGACATACTGCATAAAGTACCTTTGAATTAATTAATTTAGAAACTTATAGTTTAGTACGGGGAGGAGTTAATTTGTTGGGTGAAGATAGATAGGGCGGATATTAGTATAATGGGTGAAATTCTATTCGTGTTTGCTACCAATATAACGTATATTATGTTAAAATACAGTTTAATCGTACCGGTCAAGGAAGTCAATGCAATCAAGCTATATTGATAATTACTGACGGTCCATTTGGACCATATAAAGAAATTCTGCAACATAATAAACCACATATGCCGGTTCGAGTTTTTACGTATTTAATCGGCAAAGATGACTCAAACGCTGCTGATATGAATTGGATTGCTTGTAACAACAAAGGTAATTTTTTTAATTGCACGTTTTATGGATACTTCTTAATAAGAACATTATATCTATACTAAGTCAAAATATGAACTTCTAACGTTTAGAAAAAACTTTGTGTTTTTGTTTTTTTTCATATTTTTCTTATAAGAAAAACTTACAAGAACATTAAAAAAAAACATTTTTTTTCCATCTTAAAGTTATTCTAAATATTTTTAAAATTTAATTGTGTAACAGAAAATATAGTGGAATGATTCAAGTTACTGGCGATGATATTTTTTTTATTACAACAAATAACCACAATTATTTTTTAATTTCAATAAGAAGACTTTAAAATGACTATTGTATTCAAGATTTTTGACAAAGTATAATAATATTTTTATCAACATATTTTATAAAAAAAAACTTACCTATATAGATAACATTCGGTTCAGGTAGATTTAAAATATCTATATTTAAATTATTATTATTATTTATTTTAGTATTATTTAATTACAACAAAATAATGTAATCGGTTTTGTCCAAAACAGGTATTTCATAAATATTCCATTATTTTCCTTATTTTTTTTTTAAAAAGAAAACCATATTTTAATAATAAAATAAAACTTTATTAAATACCGATTAAGAAAACTATGCAGCATTTTTCTACTTTTGATGAAGTACCGCCTAGATACAATTTTCTACCAGAAAATAACCTCAATGAAAACTGAAGCATTTTAAAGGTTATGATAGACACACACACACACAAACATTAATAATTATAAAAAATAAAAACACACATCATCCTAAAATCAATTATTTCATCGCTATGCTCTGAAACTAATAGTAGAAAAAAATGAAAATTCCATAAATTATTTTATTATCGTTATAATCAAGATAATTATCGCCATTTTTACTATTATACTTAAGTATAAATAATTATTTAGAAATAATTTACATTACAGTTGACACGTTAAATAATTTTCAGGTTATTTCGAACATATCGAAGACCAAAGAAATCTTCGAGAAAAAGTACTAAACTATGTTTTAGTTATGGCTAGACCATTAGTTATGTATCAAACCGATCATCCAGTATATTGGTCACCAGTCTATCTTGCAAGCAAAGTATTTATCTTTGAGAACGAACGCGATCGACAAAAATTTATATTTTGTGTTTGATTTTCAATTTTTATCATTTCAGGTTGACAATTTAAAAGCTACTGACACTATAGATGGCAGACTTATGACAACAGTATCTGCGCCCGTTTTTGACAGGAGAAACCATTCGGTAAATATACTGAGTACTTTTGTATAATATCTTATATATTACTATTAAACTTCGTTTTGACAGGAACGAGCCGCCAATTTATTGGGTGTGGTTGGTATGGACGTCTATATTGACGACCTAAAGAAACTTGTTCCAGCCTATAAGGTAAATATGACGTTTTTATACGAATATTGTAGATATATTCAATTTTTAAAATTGTTTTTATCCCTTTAGCTCGGTGCCAATGGTTACTCCTTTATATTGGACAATAACGGACATGTCCTTTACCATCCTGACTTCCGACCAACGGTAATAACTCATACAATATTATCACTGATAAACGGCAACTTAATAATTTCATCTGTATAAACAATATTTTACAGCAATCTGATTCGGTCAGACCTCAATATAAGACGGTCGACCTGAGTGAGATTGAGTTACCGGACGTGGACACTAATAATAACACTCTATTGCTCGAAGTGAGTATTTTTTTTTTTATAAAATGTTCTCATTGATTTAAACGTTTTTATGAATATTCTTTAGTTGAGGAGAGAAATGATTGAGCAGCGGGAAGGCGAAACTACTCTAAAAGTCAAAAATCACTTGGATAATATGGTAACCAACACACAACATATTTTAAACTAAATAAGTTTATCTATGCATAATGGTTATATTAAAATATAATATTATTGTACCCAAATAATTTTGATTTTTAAAAAATTATTGCATGTTTGTTTTAAGAAAAAAACAAATAGATTTTAAAACTTTTCACAGAAGATAGTGAGTTTGTGAGGGAATTATAATTAAAATATAACTTTATGGAAGTTTTAAACTTAAAATGTAAACCCAAAATAATCTTTATTAAACAAATTAAATTTTAAAAGTATTAAATTTAATATTTTTTTAATTTCCAGAGACGAGTATCTTACTAGAAATATAAATACTTTTATCATTCAATCGAAGATACACCTTATAGTTTAGGTATTGCTCTTCCAGAAAGTTATGGAATGTATGAACTGCTCGGAGAAGAAGAAATCAAATTAACTCAAGTCATAGTTAGTAACTTACAAATATGTATGGAATATTTAAAATTATTTGTATTCGTTTTTCAGTTACAGATTATTTTAAGTGAAAAAACTGGAAAGTACACCCCCGAGTGTGAGTACAAAACTATTTCCAAATTCTATTTTACGTATAATATGTATAATGTTTAATATATATCTATATCTCATTATTTAAATTTAATTTTACAGGGTTTATTGTGAATATAACTATGGAAATGAACATAACTTTAAAACTCCAGAGGATAGAGTGTTGCATGTTTTTTCCAGATCCAAACGTCCTGGTTGGAAATGGATGTCATTAAGGTCTAGAATGCCACAAGATAACCTGTAATTATTTAATGAATTAATAAACACACCTAAAATATTAATGCTTGTGAGTATTTTCAGGCACAAGTCAGGTTTATAACACGTGGAGAAAGGAAAAAGACTCTCATTACTGTAAGTGTTTTGTTACTAATACCTGTGTAATCATTTTAAATACCAATAGATTTATTAATGAGATTTTTTTAATTACAGGCGATAAAAATCTCTTACAATCCTTAGTATTCGATGCATTAGTCACTGATAGTCTTGAAAAACTAACAAGTCAAATATCTAAGGCTGATAAACAGTAAGTGGATTGTTAATTTATTGTATCTTATATATTTAATCTAAAAGTTTATAAAAATAGTTTTTTTGGACTCAAGTTTTCCTGAATTTCAAGTATTATGTATTTTTACAATTTTTTATGATTCGTCAAAATTGTTGATAGTTGTCAATGAAAAAAAAGTATATTTATTTACAGTAATTTCAAACTTTTATTTTCAGTAAATCTACAAACTCGTTACTCAAAATGCAAAATTTAAAAAAATAGGTAAAAAAAATAAAAATAAATGACTTTATTCTTAACACGCAGTCGAAAGCAACTGAAATCACTGAATTACAAATCATGCACTAATGTCTGATTATATTATGTACCTACTCACAATATTATGTATTATTATAAGTCAAAACACATTAATTACACACATATTTGCACAAACGTTTATAATAATTGATAAGCATGATTACTTATTTTTATATTATTTTATTTTGTTAAGTATCATAAAATAAAATATCTGAATATTTTAAATACCTACGTATATCAAAAAGATTTAGTTACATACATTATAGTTTTTGTTAACTTCAGTTATACGCTGTTATACATTTATTTAAATTGTTATTATTTTTTACTTGTAGTTCTCGTCGTAAATTTAAATATTTTTTTATGGTTTATACTTCAAACTGCATGTGATCCTATTATAAAATATAGTTTAATCAATCGATCATTCCCCTTTCATTATTGGAAAATTATATTGAATAAGTATTTTGTTATTTTTATATTTTAGCATTTGTTTCTACTGATCTATTCTATTTTTTATTATAATATCTTAAACGTTCGACAAAAAATATTGTAGTGATAAACCTCACACTTTAAAATATTCAGAAAAATATCCTGTTGTTAAATTCAAAACAAAAATAAAAAATTTAAAAATAAATAAATAAACATAACATTTTCCAATACTTAGATAATAATTTGAAGTAAATATTTATAATATTAAAAAAAAAAAAAAAAACCATAATATATAACTGGAATCTAAAGTTTTAAGTTGAATAGAATATTATTAGATCTTCAAATAATTCAAACTTTAAAAAAAAAAATTCCAATGAATTATTTAATATTTATAATATTTTAAACGCTTATACGTCAAAAACGACAAACACACAGTTTTGTAGCAGATATTTATTTTGTTGATAAGGTATATATTAATACGACTTTAGTTATAGTTAGCTACTTTTGTTTTTATATACTAATTATGATTTGTTATATTTTGCACCTAATTTAAAAATTGCACTAACCTTGTCTACATTTTAAAGCCCAATAGCCACACTAATGGCACTTCTGCACAGGTAAAGTAGATGAACCCGTGGTACATTCAACTATTTGCACTGACCTGTAGATTTGATATTTTATTAGCTCAGTGTGTCACAGTACCTAACATAATTTAAGATTGTTGTTCGGAAAATATGGACTTCAATCGATTTTGAATTACATATTTTTTTATTTATGATTAAGTGTTCCCCACCCTAGAAAATATTTTGAATTATTATCGCAGCGGATTTGGTAAGATACTAAGACGTCTCACTTCCACATAACATTTAAGTCACAAACTTCTGAAGAAGTAACTAAAATACAGTACCAATATTTTTCATATTAACTTGAACGGATTTATTTAGTCAATTAAAAATTAAAAATTGTCGTAGATCTAATAACTTTTTTTAAATACTTAAAATTAAACTTCTGTGGCTTCTTCAGAGGAGTTTTTAATAATACTATAAGTTAAATAAAATATGTATAGGTAAAAACAACAATATTTCGTTCTGTATTAATTTGTAATTTTGTACACTATGTTGTTGCACGCGTTCGTAGCCAAGGACATCATATGTTTGGTGTAACGCTTACGTTCATTGCGACAAGGAGTGGATTATTGAGATGGAGAGATCACGGAACAAATAATAACAGAGGCCCCGAACCGTAAGTTTGATGATTTAACATGTCATATCATTAGTATAACCATTCATTTTTTACATATTATTCTAGACATTTTAGCGAAACCAACAAAAAAGCCATAGATGAGGTGTGGTACAAAAGAGCGATTGACCAGCACAACATAGAACCTGAAAGTTTTGTGTTTTCAGTGCCATTCAATTCTGGTTAGTTTGATTTTTTTACATGCTCAAAACATTCCAATTGTAATTTTCATATTTATTTTTCTATCAGTGAAATTATAATAATTATATTATTTATTTAAACATAAACATTGATATTGTTTACACAATTACTACGTCTCGTGAATCGCGTATATTAGGGTATATAGGGTGGTCCGTTATTGATTCTGGAGCAAAACAGCTATATTTGGAAAATAACAATCAGATATGTTGTTCGTGTAAATGGATAAAAATAAATCAAAGTCATTCGACTCCTTTACAGGGGCTGGTCTTGATCGACCACTGATTACAGCTACCCACGCGATGTTCGTTGAAAATAAAGGTCATCGAGCAGCAGCCGCGGTTGTCGGCATACAATTTCAACATTCATCGATCGCTTCGCACTTCATCAACATCACTTCAGCCGTATGTGTTAAAATAACAATATAATTATTAAAAAATGATCTAATTTTGTTCTCTCTTAATCTGTCCCAAGTGTACTGGCATGACCGGATGCAAGAAGACGTGTGCTTCCGATGATCTCGACTGCTATGTGTTGGATAACAACGGTTTCATCATAATATCCGAACAATCGCATCATACAGGACAGTTTTTCGGGCAAACAGATGGTACGATTATGGACTCGTTGGTTCAAGACGGCATTTACAAAAAAATCACCATACTGGACAACCAAGGAGCGTGTCATAGCGGTATCGAACATGGAACCGATTCAGCGTCTTCACTACGAGTAATCATACAATCAAAATAATAATAACGATTATCTCTATAATATCAACGAACACCCAACTCGACTAGGACCGTTTACGATGCATATTATTTCTTTTGCAGCCTCTCCAGCCGGTCGTCTGGTTTGTAAGGTGGTTATTAGGTCGATTGGCTTGGTTAGCAATCGAAACTAACATCTATCACGTTCTATTCCCGGACTGGATTCAAGCCCAAGAAGAAGGTATATATTTTATTATATTTCTTATAATTTATGAGTGAGTTTCTGTTGAGAATTGAGATGTACCTTACTTCGTACAGGAGAGATGTTATATTTGACATAAAAAGAACACTTCTCTTCACCCCCCCCCCCACCATAATCAATAAATGACAGTCTCATAATCCAAACAGATTTGTTGTTCAGGTATCTATATATTACACACACTTCGTAATTTTTCCACCAGATCCAATGTATTCGGAATACGACTTGGGGCCAGATGAATTCGTGCCAGATCAAGGTGAGAAGACCACGGACCAGAGTGACAAACCAATAACGGACGGTGTCGGTGGTGACCGGGGGAGCTCCGGGAACGACTACAAAGACATACCACAGCATCCACCGCTGTACGTGCCAAGCATGAAAAACGCCGAGTACTTCAGCCCAGTTTACAACCGAACTCAACCTGGCATAACCAGGACATGTCGCAAATCGGTCGATTTGTACGTCCTGCAACCCAATAGATTGAACATGAGTGGGTCGTTTAACCCACTCAAAGGAAAATTGACCAATTGCCACGCTACTGGATGCGAGCGGTATGATAATGTCATATTTACCTATACTGTTTACTACAGCATATATTATTATACCTCTATCTAATGTTGCCTACATCAAAACCATTGGTCATTGCCATATTATTCTGTGTAGTTACAACGCTTACGATATGAATAAAACGATATTCCTTCCTAAACTGCTTATCACTACCTACTCCTGGTTCTTGAATCCTATATAATATAATATCTGAGTCAATTAAAGAGTCCATTTGACTTCTAGAAAGCATAATACTACGTTTAGTAAAATATGTATTCTATTGGGCAGCTCAGTGTGCACTGTAAATTACTATATTAAATCATGGATAAGTTTAGACAAATTAAATTAAAGGTAATTATTTATTCATCGTATAAGTAACTCGGCAATATTGAATTATAATAATTATAGCATTATGAATATAAAACAATCCATAAACATTTCTCTTAGACATTTATAACCAAGTACATTTATTTCAGGTAGACAGAAAAAAACTCACATCAAATTCATGATTTGATTGTTGATACATAATAATTATATTTACTTTCATGTTACAGGCCATTCAGCGTGCAAAAAATCCCCCACAGCAACCTAATACTATTAGTGGTGGATACTCTGTGCCCTTGTGGCAGCAAACAACTGAGCATCGAACCACAAGAGGTTCGAATGGCCACAGATGAATCTGGACAACCAGTGTACAACTGTCAAGATCAAAACATGTTCCGGAGACGCACAGGAAAGTGCATTAACTATCATCCAGAAGTGAGTTTTGATAATTTTGTAGCGTTAGGATTTTATCAACAAGATAAATTTAGTACTAAGTGACTTTTAGTTATTGTTGGTAACTAAAGTTTATATTATTAATTTTAAATAGGAAGAATTTGGAAAATAAATATTTTAATTCACTTAATACTTAATAGTGATGATAATGCTAAGTTATAGGTACGGTCCCGAATAATGTACAATTTATAAACCGACATTTTCATAAACATTTTATACAAAATATATCCAATTTAAAACATGAATAAATTGAATTATGACTTTTTAATAACATTTACGTATAATTAAAAAATAATGGAATAATATCATTTCATTTTATTTGTATAAAATTATGTATTATATGAGAGCATATAGTGCAATACAAATTAAATTCTGTTTTAACTCATCATATGGCATACTACATTACTATAACACTAATTAATAATAATACCACCTATTGGTTAAGACAAATAAAAAACAAATTTTAAATGATTTTAAATATCATGCTCATTAGATTTTAAGTTCAGTCGTGATGTGGCCCAACGCCAATTCTGAAGATAAGGTGTGACTCATAACGAACATTTTACAAAAATTGAAATTTTAATAATACTGTTGATATTGCTGTGACCTATTATCGGTTTAATATGGAAACAAATTCTGGACATCATCATACAATAAAATATAATACGATATACTCAATGTTGATTTCAAATGACGATGCTCCACTAGACCAGTGTCTATACTAAAGTAATGTAGGTACCTACAGATAAATCGAAGTGTACCAAAATGCTGCCCTAATTCAACATATCAAATTTAAATTGGAAAACCCGAATGGAAAATGAAATGATTATTTAACTTAAAATTAGGTTAGTAGGTTACCATTCACTATTAAGTTACTAAAATAATATTAATTTCCCTATAGTGTTTACAAATACAAATCGATTTTTGTATGCAAATTTACAAGTCTTTGTGGCCGATAAAAAAACGATATTTAGAATAGTAAAAATTGTTTTAATTTAATCATGAAATATATAACATTGTTTGAACTAAAGATACATTTAGTTAGTTACTGGTACACCAGCAGTAGTCGAATTGTCGATTCCACATTCGTTTGTGCCTCGTTGGATTTTGAAAAGACCATTATCACCCCAATCTGCGTTCCATGAGTTAACCATCAACCAGTATGGAACTCCATATTCTTCTCCCCATCCAATCAATTTAACGGCATGACCTCCTAAATATGAAGCATTTTCTGATCGAATGTAGACTCCTAAAAATGGTGAAATTGATATTAACATGATTAGAAATTGTAATTCAAAATTCTATGCAAATAAAAATTATTTTAGTAGGTGTGTAAAATGTCATTGCAATTAATATGAGCTATTGAGCTTACCAGACTTGTAATTGGGGAAATCGTCATAAACATCAAATGATGCTTCAATGGGACCATAGGTCATAACGTCCTTCTGGATACTTCCGTATGTAAGGTAATACGAGTCTCTTGCTGTAATCACAATTTCATTAAATTATAAATGTATTACATTACATTTAATAATTACTATTAATGTATAATAATATATGCAATATCTGAATAAATCGTACTGTATCTGTGATCGTTGTCAAAATCAAGATCTTGATCTCCGTAACACATTCTTGTGCATCTGTGATTTTTTTCTCTCGGTTTGCCAGCGCAAGTATTATTTCCTGCATCGTCATATGGGCAAGGAGGGACTCTGTATGGTTCACAACCCTATACAAAAAAATATATGAATGACAAAATAGTTCACTTATATATCAGTACTTTTCTATAAATATTCTACTTACCTCTCCTGATTTATAATCTCCTCCGGTGACAAGACCGTGTTTCTTAAAACGTTCCCAAGCTTTAATCGGGTATCCTCCGTTACATCCATTACCACATTTATGACAGCAGAAAGTTAATTCTTCTGGGGATAACAGTTGATTGAAATCTGCGTCTGTAGCTACACACAAACGGTCAGCAAATGCCGAACTTGTAGCTAAGGGCTTCGGAGAGACATAAGTCTGTTAAATTAACATTGTACTTTTTGTCAAATTAACTTATAATATGTAGGTATACTTAATGTAATATACCTACACTGTATATGTATATTATATAATACTTATAATCAGACATACCCAACAGGATCCGCAATTTCCTTGGTCTCGGACTGCTCCAATCGTCTGACATTTCCTCCATTTTTTTCTTGCGTCAAATTTCCTTGGAATTCTACCGAACAAGTTTTCGTAGTTAGAGTCTTCTGATTTGTACATTTTGTAGTTAGCTTTAGTTGGAATTTGAACTCCTTTGGAACCCAAAAGTTTTAAGATGTCTTCCTTCGGTGTGGATGGGTGGAAGTTGACACCAGCCTAAATAAAATAGGTAAATAAAAACGTCATTCGAAAATATTAATAATACATTAATACTTGTTATTTTAGATTAACTTAAGATGGGGAAGTAATACAACATATCGTTTCTACTTAGAATAGTTTTTTGTATGCAATTTAAATTTGGCACATCATTATCATACAGTGACTTACTTGATGCTGAGTTAATTTAAGATCTGCTGTAGATTTCCAGTTTAACTTTTTATTTTCATTTGAATTCATAATATTTAATGAATTTGTATAGAGTTATATTGGTATTATCATAATATGCTAATATGTTTAATTTTGAATGCATTTCGTGCATGAAAAATTTAATTTAGGATGTTTTCAATTTTTAAAAAAACCAATTTTTATCTATATATTTTTTTCCTAAGTATATGGGATGACAAAATAAAATTAAAAATTTGAATAGGCACTAAGAATCCACCCATTAGTGACACTGGACTAATTTACTGACTTAAAAATAATAACTATTAAGTTTCCATTATACTCAAATATAAAAAAAGGTGCTCTGCTATAATGGATGGTATTAAATTTGCATTCAATGATATAATATCATTGTATAAAAAAAACGATTCGGTATGTCAGTCTAGGGATAGGTAAGACATATTATATACTTATCTATGGTATTAAAAAAAATTGACCTATAATAGGTACCTTTAATAAATTACAAATTAATCATATCACAATATCCATTAGTTACTTATAACGCGTTATACATCAACAACAAACCCTGATACTATCATAGATATATAATAGTGTACTTTAGAAGTTTCAAGTATCCGCGAATAATATTATACAATCACCACAAAATAACTAAAATAGTTATTCTAGGTTTTTTTATGAAATTTCATCCAAATTTGAACTTATTTTTTTATTGACATTTTTTTTTTTTGATAAATGTAGAAAATCTTATAAGGAATCTTGTATTAAATTTAAAAAGAAAAATTTTTATGAATTCTTAACTGAAAATAATTTGCTAATTTTCTTGATTTTTCATATTTTGTCAATTTTTGAACTTTAAATACTTGTAAAAAAAAAAAAACTGTGACTAAAGATTTTTAATATTTTTTATCTGCCTTTGAAAAAATATACTAGGAGCCTTCTATTAAATTTTCAAGCTTTATTAACCAACAAATAAAATTTTATTGATATTTTAGAAAAAAAACTATAAAAAAATGGAAAATGAAAATATCCCTAAACAGTTCAAAATAAATCAAAATATTTTTAAAATGTTATAGTGTATAGAAAATATAAATATTAACAACCAGTGAAAATTTCATGTATCTACGGTCATTTTTTTTTAAAGTTACACCAAAACCAAATTCGTTTTTGTTAAAAATCGATTTTGAGTAAAAATTCCCGTTTTTCCTTAATTTTTCTTTTGTTTTTCTTGGCGCTTTTGAAATTACTGGGAATTTTAACTTTTGACCTTGCCAATGCACCAACGATATTCACTTTACAATCGAACAAGATACTGAAGTTGAAAATCGAAGCATTATTTTGACTACTTATCGTGTACAGTGTACACGGACACAAATAAAAAAAAAATAAAAAAATAAAAAAAAACACACATCATTGTAAAATCAATACAGTCATCTTTCCACTCAGAATCTAAAATGATGAAATTGTGTTTCAACGAATATTTCAACATAAAATATAACACCAACCCACAATTTTTAATTAGGAATATTGGTATATAACTCAAAATATAATATTTTGAGCTGTACAACTTACCTTCCATGTTTTTGCAACTTCATTGATTGAGTCGATGTAATCTTTTTCCAAAAAGTGTGCTTGTTCTGTCATATAGACACTGAACAAGATCACAGACAATAAAATGAATACCCTAGCCATTATTGAAATGGTTTTTCCAAAAAAAGTTATTAATAAAACGAAATGCACTAGTGCATTTGAATTCCCAGTACCCAGTTGCAGACTGCTGGTGCAACTGTGAATGAGTTTAACTTTTCAAATATCAACCGTATTTATACCACCATATTATACGAATTAGGATACTTGAATGAAATACTTAATATTTTATTCGTAAGTTTTTCTCAGAATACTCTAAATATTTTCAAGTGTTTTTACTATAGATTATACAAATAAGTATTTTATTTAAGCATTTTTGTTTGATACACTCATAGCTTTATCAAGTTTCTATGAATTTCGGTAACTAATCTAAAAGTTATTGTCAAATCAATACGTTTATAGATAGGTATGTATATTATTATCAAAAATTAGCATTTTGTATTAAAAGCACGTTATGAATAATTACCACTTTGCACAATATTATAGATGACATGCTCAATATATGGTTTGATATTTCAAGTTGTCTGATGTACCTACATTCATAAGTTATACGTTAAAATGATGAGTTCAAATATTACTTCTCTAAAGTCTGAAATTTAAATTTATAATCACTGCACCACTCCCTCATCGTAATTCAATAAAAAAATCTATATTCAATATTGTAGAAGTAGAATTTTATTTTATGAAAAATCTTAGAATCTATGATACTTATATCAATTTACAGTTTTAGAATTCTTTTCTATTTACTCCTACAAAAATCCAAATTTAAAACATTTTTTATAATGATCCGTTGGGTGTTGCAGATCGCGGCCTATTCATTCTATCAGCAATTACAACCTGAAAATTAATGTATTAATATATGAAGAGATTTGTATTTAATGTGCAGGCTTTTTGACTGACAAATTTAAAAATTTAATTTAAAATTGTCAATATGTGCATAATATGTAGGTTAAAACTTTTTAAGCTTCAAGTACCTACTCATGAATAATATTATTTAATTATGACAAAATAGGTAACTAAAATTGTTATTTTCCGTACAAATTTCGTCCGAATTTGAACTTAAATATCTATAAAACAAGTAAAAAAAAGCTCACTTTGTCAGAGAGCTAAATTCCCGGTTCCTAAACTTATTTTAATACATCGCAATAAATTATAATTCCATATACAATTTATGTACTTGCAGTGACAACGGAATATACATATCTTAATATCAACAATTTATCATCACTATGTACAGGTAACTATAACGGACGGGTGGACGGACACGTCGGGGAAATAAGGTGATTAAACTTATATGTTTAGAAACCTAAAAAACCGTGTTCATAATAATATGTTTTATAGATTTTTTGGTTACAATATTATTATGAACTACTTATGTGAAACCTTGTATTAAATTAAATTATTAAACTTGTTGACCAAGTGAACAACAATATCTTATCGACATTTATTGCAAAGTAATACAGTTTCAAATGCATATAAATAGCTCAAAAAGATTCAAAATATTTTGAAAAAGTGTTCTTAAAATAATTTTAATTTTTTTTAGTTTTCCTCTGTTATTTTTAAAAGTTTAGATAGTAGAATTGTTTTACTTTTTTGTCCCCCTTTGCTGAAGATTGAAGTACATATTATCTAAAACTAGACCACATGCGAGGTTTCTTGAATATTTCTATAAAAAAAAATAAGTATCGTTATTATTCACTTGCAATTAACGTAAACAATATTTTATTGGCAATCGTGGTCCACATTGTATACGATTCAGTATTCACTAGCCCACCATGTCACATTTATTATCAATACGTTTCTTGTAAGGACGAATGATTGACAGTTCTTCAGTCTCATTTCAAAAACCATAATTAGCGACTGGCGTTAATCAGAATTTATTGGATTGTCCGATATGCGTCGTCTGTCAATTTGTGGTGGACATATCATATTATTACAAGTAGAATTAACAAGAAATCACCAAAAAAATTTAAGCAATATAAAATAATTTAACTGAGATATAAACTTATAAAACTTGTATCGCCCAATTATTGTTCATGTCATTCATCGTCCATGGAACTTGTTATTAACTCACGTTATATATGCTGTAACTTACTGATGTAAGCTTGGTAAATGTATCAGGTAAATCCCAATTACAGAAATTTAAAGGGTAGCGCTATTTACACAATATGGCATTTCATTTTTTCTCGCTGCGCAGATTACAAAAATAAATGTTTAAATGTGTCACAAATATCATTTTTATTTTAGTGCTGATAAAAAATGCACTTGAAAATGCAATAACAAAACCCCACAAGTGAGTTTAGATAATTTTGTATTATTAGAATAATAGAATGTTATTCACACGTTAATATTAAGTACTAAATGTCAATTGCCAATTTCTCCATAAAAATGTTAATTTAAAACATTAAAAAATATAACTATGGCGTTGTAGAAACATTGTACCTACATATAATTCAAAAATAATGTCATGTCATCAATATACTTTTAATCATTTCATATATTTTGTATTTTGCATATGCTTATTGTACGCCAGTATAGTGCAATAAAATTCCAATTCTATACGATTTCATAAGTCATAATAAAAAGTATAAGTCGAGACAAATACAAACAAATTTTAATAGATTATAATATTATAATGTTCAGCATATATTTGAGTACACTCCGAATGTCGCCCTCGAGTGTCCATGCAGATAGGTAGGTATGGTCAAGTTAGGTTAGGTCATTACAGAATTTTTTATAAACCGAAAATTTCAAACAAAAGGTTGTTATTGCCGTGAGTGGCTCCTGGCATATTCTAAAATAAAAATTCTGAACAATGTCATAGATCAAATACATTATAATACGATACACTCAACGTTGAATTCAAACGATGAACCGTATTTATACCACCATATTATACGTATTGGGATACTTGAATGAAATACTTAATATTTTATTCGTAAGTTTTTATCAGAATACTTAAAATATTTTCTAGTGTTTTTACTATAGATTATACAAATAAATATTTTATTTAAGTTATTCACTTTGACACTCTTTCAATTTTTTTTTTTTTGACAAAACAGTTTTTACATAAGACACTATATGCTTTAAAAAATGATCTTACCTCAAACACCATTCAAAAACCAAATGTGATTATTTTAGATATCCTACCTATAATATAGAAACTTCTTGTTCCACTCCCGGTAAAGATAAGGAAATATAGTGAAGATTATTTGTCACAAGGATTTTCATTCGTTATGATAGAAAATGTTCATAGACCTGAATGTGTTGTTTGTGGAGAAGTACTATCTAATGGTAGTATGAAGCCTTCACTACTTACTCGGCATTTGAATACAAACATTCAGATTAAAGGACAAAAAATGTTACTTTTTTCAAAAGTTTACTATAAAATAAAAATAAGTGCAATATGAATACCTACCTATCTTCAGGTAGTGCTAATGAAGATGTTCTTGAAGCATCTTTTCAAATTAGTTACCGTATTGGCAAAAGTTGTAAAAATCACACCATCGGAGAAAATTTGATTTTGCCAAGCATTAAAGAAGCAGTTTCTTGTATGTTCGAAAAAGACTATGTCAATAAAATAAATGCTATCCTGCTATCAAATGACACTGTCAGCCGTAGAATCAAAGATATTTCTAATGACATTGAGGAGACACTACGAAAAGGCATCAATGATAGTCAATTATTTTCAATTCAAGTTGATGAAAGTACTGATGTTGCACAATTAGCTGTTTTGTTAGTGATTTCAAGGTATTTGAAAGAAAATGAAAGCGTAGAAGGGCTTTTGCTTTGCCATCCTATTACTGAATTCACAACAGGTGCAGATATTTTCCATGCTATTAACTCTTACTTCATCGAAAAGAGAATAATGTAGTCAAAATGTTGTGGCTTAAGTACTGATGGAGGCAAGTCTAAGTCAGGTTGTTACTCTGGTCTCCTTGCACGTGTCAAAGCAGTATCTCCCCTGGTAAAGTGGACTCATTGTTGCATCCATCGACAAGCTCTCGCATCGAAACCTTTACTTGTTGATTTGAAGGACGTTCTGGATGATTCTTATAAAATAGTGAACTTTATCAAGTCTCACCACACCAACTCCAGAATATTCTCAGCATTGTGGAAAGACATGGGCAGTCTTCACAAAACCCTCCTTCTTCACACTGGGGTTAGATGGTTATCACGAGGAAAAGTCCTTACTCGTTTGTTTGAACTTAGAGGCATGAAGTTCTAATATTCTTTGAAGACCATCCTTTTCGGATTTCATTAAAGTTTAATGACCATGAATGGCTTCAAAAACTTTCATATTTATCCGATATTTTTTTTGAAATTAAATTATCTAAATTTTACTCCTCAAAACAGTACAACAGTAACAATATTCCAAGTTACTAACAAAATAGAATCTTTTGTTAAAAAGTTAGAGTTTTGGACGCCGTATATTGAGAATAACCAACCAGAAATTTTTGAAACACTCCACGATTTTCTCTGCGAAACTGATATAAACCTATCGCAAGATATCAAAGTCCAAGTTGTTCAACATTTGTATGGACTCAAGGCTGCTTTTAATAAATACTTCCCAAAATGTGAAAAAGGAGACCACTGGATACTATTCCCTTTCAGTAAAAAATATTTCGAATCTGCAATTTTATCAGTACGAGAAAAAGAAAAACTTATTGAACTGAAGACGAATTCTTCACTTGAGTCTTGAGGTAATACTTGAAAAAAAATCTCTCCTCACTTTTTGGGCTGACGTAAAAGAAGAGTATCCTGAGCTTTCAACAAAGCATTTAAGGTTCTGCTGCCGTTCCCGAGTACCGTATTGGTGGAGAGGGCCTTTTCGTCGTACACGCACATTAAAAATAAGTATCGTAATAGACTCTCTGTGAGTTCAGATTTAAGAGTTTACTTATCATCCAAGGAGCCAGATTTCAAAAAATTATGTGCCAGCAAACAAGCCCAAGGGTCTCATTAAAATTAAATTGTAAAGTTAATATTAGTTTTTTAAATATATATATATATACGTAGTACGTACATTATATGGCTAATTAAATTAACTAATAAATATTAATTTCAAATTTTCTATCATCGAACTTATTTCATAATATCTTATTTGTGACTTGTGTTGTGTGTGAATATATAATAAATTGTCATTTGGGTTGCCCTTTAATATGCCCTTAGTTTAAGAAGAGTATTGGCCGTAATCGGTGAATGTTTGAATGTTTTTGTTCTCCAAAAAGAGTACTCGATGCAATAAATTGTAATGTGAAGGGTTCCACAAAAAAAGTATTTCTGCAGAATGGGCTTATGTAATTTAGTTCACATCTATCACATTTATTTGAAAATTTGTCAAAATTTATTGAATAGATCATTTTAAGAAAAATATTTACATGTACATGAAGTAAAATATAAATGTATTTGCTAATAAATTGTAATTTAAGGTATACAGTACTATATTATGTGTATAAACGAGTAATGTTTCAGTTAATAAAAAAAGTATAAAATCAGGTATTTATAATCCATTGTCCAATTTATTGAAGATGTTATGAATGGGCTATGCAACATGTTATTATTCATGTTTTTATGTGAAGCTACAACTTACTGCACTTAGGACCAGTGAGCTTGTTAAATACTAATTTATTAGGTAAATTCCATGTATATAACTGAAATGAAATTGTGTCTCAGATTACTTAATGCAGGGTCCGTCATTTGGAGCGTATCATAGTAGCAAGCATCTTAAATAAGAGTTTTAATTCAATAGCATGATGGCCTGGGTAAAATGGTTAAATTCAAATAACAAAATTAATATTTAAATATGACATAAGACCATCTCCCGTAAAAATATTGTAATTTTGTGCAATACGAATATTTCTTGTAATAAGTTTGTCTTGTTTGAACATTTAATAATTTCTTATAGTATATTTATTTAAATAATTTCAAACATTTAAATTGAAAACAAGTGATTACAATAACAACTCATCGTTGACAACCGATAGGTACCTACCTATGATTTGTGAATAACACGTTTTGAGTTAGAAGTTAGAACTAGGTCGATGAAAACAAAAGTTTAATTAAAAAGGTTTCCAATGTTCGATTATCAAAGTTATAATCGCGTACAGGTACTAAGGTACTTAATATGTTTTCCATAAGTGACTAATGAGTCACAACAACGTTTACATATCGTTGCTGTAGATATTAATGTAGTAAAATATAGACGATATAGTACTGGTGTTGGCGTCAGTAAGACAACTATTATAATAAATAATAGGACCTACAATTTTCATTATGTAGATAACCTACCTATAGCTACAAATTTTATTATACACATTTGTGTTTTTAAATATAATATAAAACATAATAAATAGTGTTTAAGTATGACGTTTTAGTAAACATATATGGGATTTTTCGCATATTTGTGCATATTTTGAATTTTTTAACTTAAATGTAGATACTTACATACAATTGTCGTTAAAAACCATATTTGGATAATATTGAAAAATGTCTTTAAAAATATTATGGTTGGTTAGGTATTATGGTACATATAGGAGCTAATTTTAAGATTTGGGGAAGCCGAAGCCTAAAATCATACTATTATAAAATTGAATAAGCTTAAACAATTTTAGTAAATGTTTGGGAGGGCTGTTAAAGTTGTTGGTGGAGCTTGGCTACGGTTAGCCCTATTTTCGCATATGGTACGTAAGATTTTATAAGTCTCTTTATGACAAGACTGTGTTAAAACTATAATTGACATCTAGATTCTAGATTCTACGAAGAAATGAAAATCAGTAGATACGTGTTCGTTTATCACGGGGTTCGCATATCACGTTATTTGTTATTACTTATTTATTAACCTAGTATTTTATGCCAGTATTTTTAAAAATCTTATTTAATTTCACAATAGTTCAAAACATGCAATATCTGTGTCCTCCGTCCATCATATTAATCAATATGTAGGTACCTACCTATATTACATTTTCTATACCCGTGTTTAAATTATTTTTATCATGTTTATATACCTACTTATTTTTTAGTTTTTTATAACAAGTCAAGTCCCGAACCCTAAATTTATTTATGTATGGAAACTGTAAGAACTTGGTTTTAATCTATACTTAAACACCCCCCCCCCCCCATTTCATAATCCTGGCTACGCCACTGGGTACATGTGTTATACAATATAGGTATATTTTCGTTGAACGGTGAAAGAAAACAGAATTATAGACACAAACAAAATGATTGATGATTTTTGGAATATAATATACTGAGGCAAATAAAAAAATGTTCTGATTTAAATTGTCATTGTTTAATCTCATTTTTTAATTACCATACATGGTATACATATTAGTATGATAAAAATATTCAATGTTTTAAAAAGTTTTAACAAAGTTGATAAAATGACTGAGAGTTATAATAGAGTTAAATAGGTATTAGTACATTATATTGTTGTGCTTATACATTTATTGTATTTTAGTATTACAGTGATTTTCACTACCTACTTTGGATTTTAAACCTAGATTTATTAATCTTTTTATTCGTTTATTATTTTACCAACTTTGTTTGCGGACACAGGTGCAAAATAAATTGTAGGCTATTTAATTCAACTAAGCATTTGACAAAGTTAGGGGCTAACTATAGGGACGAACTTCTAAGTCACACCAGCTATTTGTGTCAATATTAATATCATCTCGTGTTTTTTAATCAACATATTTTCATTTTCACTTTCTAGGAAATTGAAATCAAACAGTGCGGTTCGAGTTCGGCGCTACTAGTCACCTCGTACCTGGTACTACTGAGCATGGTAACCGCCATATGGATAACGTGATCGTCGTACTTTGGCTGAACGATGAATTCCTCAGCGCCTTCGGTTTTACGAATAACTTATAAGTGTATGATAATTGTTATAATTTTTTTCTTTTTTTTTTACATAAGATCTTTTAAACGGTTTTTTTTTAATTTGTATTATTATATTATTTGTTTAATAATGGCCAGCGCTCGAATTTATAAGTGCCCCGCTAAATCGTTGTAATAATAGTATTTGGCATACATACTCATATACACGCGCACATAATATTCATATCGCGTGTGAATCGTATACATTTTATTTACTTATAATAATATATTATATTGTGTGTGTGTATAATGGATCTTCCATTATATATGTATATATTATATATAATATTTATTATATAATACTATGTATGTAGCATAACTATACCAAAATATTTTTGTACGTCAAAAATTATTATGTACTATTGGGAATGAATTTAATATGATAATTGATATGATATTATATAGAAAAACTAGACAATAATTTGTTGGTAAATATGCAATCGTATTGACTATATAATAATAATAATAATATATAATAATAAGCAACACTTCTTATTATAGATAATACTATTATATAATGATAATCATATTATAATATTTCACGCGGCGCAAGTGCAATGTTCATTATGATAATATAAAATAATAATGATAATATATATATACAGTCAAGTGGGTTCTAAGTGTATTTAGGTTAGAAAAATAAATCATCACAAAAGTAGTTGATTTTGATTACCTACGATATTATGTTATAGGTACTATGGTAATATTATGATTGAGTCAAATGCGGCGTAGAGTCACCCATTCTATCCAAGTCACGTATTTCCATATTTCTACGAATTTTCTGAGGACTCTTGCTCGGTCGTTCTGGTAGTTGTATTCGAGTATCGTCACGAGATTTTTTTTCACAAACACAACTAATCAAAAACAGCCACGTAAACGAAACAAATAACAAAGTTCATTGTCACCGGGACTAGAAACCATTAACCGAAATCAGATAGAAAATCATATAATAATATTAAGTGGATTTAAAATTTAAATAATAACTTAACGCTTCGCTTTCCCAGCTAGTGAAATCCGTTGCAAAAACTGTATCCCCGACTATATATGACCTTACGAATTTTCTCGAAATCCACAACCTACCTAAAAAATATTCCATTGTATACACCCAAATCGAGTGTGTAATACTGGAGCACGGAATTAAATATAATATCCATACATTTACGTTTAAAAGTTTAATAAAAAAATAGATAAATTTTACCCTTGGAACTCCTCCCTGCTGTATGGCTGATATTCTATACTATAAATTATTATAATAATATTATCTACTAATGAATTTGTGTAGTTCTGAATTAATAAAATATTATATTGTATTCTACGCTATTGCGTTTTTGTTGTCGTTAAAAAGAATGTGTTGTTTTTTCTTGTGCATTACACAATACTATAATATTAATATTATTATTATTATTATATAGGTACGTTTATAATAATAGTATATTATATTAAACTATTTAATTGTTAGAGTCGTTTAAGAAGTATATTATATATTATATAATATATATATATGTGTGTGTGTACCTATGTATATAATTCAGTTCACAATGCAATTGTTTTTTTTATCGTTGAACTCTCAGTATTGTATTCTTCTTTTCATCGTGAATTTTATATTTATTTTTTAAAATCGTATATAATATTACAAACTAATGTAATTCACTTTTTTTTCCATTTTTTTTTTCGTTGATTAGTAAAAATTTGTATAAAGTAAACAAATTATATATCATCAGATTTATGTCGATCAGATATTTCGAATGGTGCGCATTAGTATAAAGGCAACTTTTATACGAGTACGTTGATACTAATATTATTAAGCCGTCATTTGAATAATAT